AAGAGGGAAGATGGTGAACCCTCTGCTCACCACTGGGCTAACAAGGGTGATGGCACAGGTTGGTGCACCCCAAGAGTCCTGCTGTGCTCCACCCATGGTCACCCTCAGAGAGCAGCTCCCCACCTTCCCAGGAATGAGATGCAAACACCATGGAAGCTCATCCTGGTACCCACCAACACCTCCTGCAGCCCCTTCAGCTCAGGAAAAGGAGGGGAGGGGTAAGCTCAGCCCCTCCATGGGTGCTGCAGACCCACAGAGCCCCAGGGGTGCCAAGAGTGGTGGAGGAACATCCCTGTTCCCAGCAGAGGAAAGGGGAGGGAAGGGAGATGCTGACTTGTTCCGTGGTTTCTCCTCTGCTCGGCCTCTCTTCTCCTTCTGATTTGGTTTCCTTGACAACTCTGAGGGCTGTTTCTTCCCTGGCTTCTTTACCTTGGAGGAGAGAACAATGCAGGGAGAGCAGTAGAGCCTTCCCTGCTGCGGCGGAGACAGAGCCACAGCCATGGCACAGTCACCTCATGGCACATTGTCACCTCACAGCCATGGCACAATGTCACCTCATGGCACAATATCACCCCATGGCCATAGCACAATGCCACCCCATGGTTCCAAGGGGACAGTGGAGCAAAGCACCTGACTGTGGTAGTGGGGGAAGAGCTCATGGAATGGTTTGGGTTGGGAGGGACTTTAAAACTCATCTCCTTCCACCCCCTACCACGGGCAAGGACAGATTCCACTAGCCCAGGCTGCTCCAAGCCCCATCCAAGCTGGCCTGGAACACTTCCAGAGATGGGACAGCCACAGCTTCTCTGGGCAACCTGTGCCAGATGTGAGACCCACAGCTGGATGGGGTGTGCTGGGCCAGGGAAACAGGCACAGCATGGATGTGCCTATGGACACAACCCTTCCAACACTGCATGGCCAACCCCAGGACAACCTAAGACCAGGAGAGCAGGTCCCTGCTGATCCTGGAGGTGCCTGCAGGCCTGACAGGGAGGTGACAGTCCCTGTCCATCCCTAGCTCCCCATGGCTCCACACTCACCTCCTTCTCTGGCTCCAGCTCCGAGTCCGAGGAGGACTGAGCCTTGGCTCGGCCTTTCCGGCCCTTCTTGGCCACCTCATCCTCCCCACTGCTGTCCGAGTCCGAGTGCACCTCCTCCCCCTTCTCTGCCTTCTCCTTCCTCTTCTCCTTCTCCTCCTTCTCCAGCTCCCGGAGCCGACGGAGCTCTTCTTCCTGCTCCCTCTTCCTCTTCTCCTCCAGCTCCCTCCG